ATTTGTTTTTTAGGGATTGGCTAGCTTCACTAAGCATAATCTGCTCTAGTGCCATCCATTTCCCTGCAAATTCCATGATTTTGTCATTTTTTTAGTGCTGCGTAATATTCCACGGTGTATAAATGCCACATTTTTTTGTACAGATTCTTTTATACAGACAAATAAAAAAAACTTTCTTAAAGGACCCTATTAAAGATACACACAACATTGTTACAAAACTGAATAAAAGCTCTTGATTATATGTTTTTAACTTCTCTGAATCTCAGTTTTATCACATGAGAACAGGTGCCATCTCTTCTTCACTATGCCATTCAAGGCACCCTTAGCCTCAGTTGCTCCTGGAGGCTTCAGATTGCTCATCTCTATACTAGTGGTAAGTGATACATGTCCAGCCTGTCTTGTATACATTTTTTTTTCAAAGAAACAAATACTGTACGATGATAATATTTCAATTCTGGAAGTGTTCTCATAATTCTAGGAGATAACGGAATGGCTAATAACAGTGTTAGCTGTTGTCAAGTACAAATCCTAGCACAGCCTCTCACTAGCTCTGTAACCTGATTTAGGTTACTTAACCTCTTTCTGCCTAATTTCCTCACCTACATAATACATATAAAAATAGCCTCTTCATCACAGGTTTGAAATGAGATTAGTTCAGTACCTAGCATGAATTTTAAGGCTTAAAGGTCTGAAGTTAGTTATAGTTTTCTAGTCTAACTACCATTTTTTTATATAACAACAACAAAAAAAAATGAGTTCTAAAACTTTGGTTTTCTGAGCCAGGTGCAGTAACATGCCTGTAATCCCATGCAGTGACTCTGGAGGCTGAGGCAGGAGGATCCCAAGTTCAAGGCTAGCCTCAGCAACTTGGCAAGACCCTGTCTAAATAAATAAATAAAGCAAGGTGTATATATATATCTATCAGTGGTACAGTGCCCCTGGCTTCAGTCCACAGTACTTCTAAATAAATAAATAAAAATAAAAACCTTTAAATGCCCAAGTTCTATTCATGGCAAAGTTCAGGGTCAAGATGGGTCTTCCCAATCCAGAGCCAATGATTTCTCCACAACAAGACAAAACTGAGAGATTTCACTGAACAGATCTGGAGAGTGAGAGTCCAAAGAGTGAAAGTGAATGGGCCAGGAGTGAATTGCCCGTCGCTGCACTGTCCGCTGCAGGTCTTGAAACCCAGGCTAAGGGACTCAACCTCCTCCTGCCTCAACCTCCCAAGATGCTGATATTACAGGACGGTGCCACCACAAATCCATGTGGGGGAAGCATGTGAATATGAAACTCTAAGTAGAATAAAAGCCATTCAAGGAAGCATCCAACAGGAGGCATGTAATGACTACAGAAGAGAAGTAAATAGAAATCAGTGTGACTAGAATAATCTGGAACATTTTCCAACACAGAATCTTAACTTGGACATCCATAACAAAATGCAAAGGGTGAGGTGGGAAAGAAAATGACTTCTGATGATTCCTAGAGTGTGATCCTGGGAACATCAATTTCAACATCACCTAGGAACCTGTTAAGACAGATCCTCAGACCTCAAGAGACCTGCAGAATCAGAAACCCAGGCACCTGCTAATATGTGTTCATACGCTCACCAGGTGCTTCTGGGGTCAGCTCAAGTGTGGGAAACACTGGACTGAGAGTGATTTTCAGTCTTGGTTATGTCCTGGAATTGCCAGGAGGGCATTAAAATCAATGGCAGCCCAAGTTGTTCCCTGAGATTCTGTTTCATTTAGTTGCTGTCTGGGCTCAGGAGTTTTTCAAGTTCCACAGGTGATTCTRAAGTGCAACTGAAATAAAGAACCAGTGAAAGAAGGAATCGATGTAAGTTGTGAATTTTGGCCCTTCTCAGTCCTCAAGTGAGAASGACATATGTGGATATATTGAGTAATAACTAAAAGATAGAGACAACACCACTGGATACATAAATCATTTCAGGAGTTAAGCATTTAAGTCTCATCCAGGAAATATACTTCAGATTTGATAAATTGATAATAAGGATGCACCTCATGTATTGGAGATAAATCTAACGTATCCTCCAAACAAGGGCAGGCATATSATAGGCCCAGTGTGTGGCTGAGGGAAACCCCCCTCTATTCAAGTTATGAAGCAATTGGAAACACAATATTGTGATGACAGCCAGAAATGGAAAATACTTCTGTGGCTAGACAATTATGTAGAAGCTAATTGGATTTTTTCCAAAATAAACTCCCACTTTCTCAAGTTCCAAATAACATAAAACCATGAGTTATCATGTCTGTCTTTAATTTATTTCAGCTTCCATGTTGACTTGTTTCACCTATCAGATTAAGGCATTTATTATTGATTCATAGCTGTTTCTACTTTTTCCTTTAAGTAAGACAGAGATTTATTAAATCATTTGTTTATAAAACTACAAATCACTAGCCAGAATTTGCCTGTCATTGTTATGACTTTATCCTAGGAAAGTTTACTAAACAGGGTTCCTAAAGAATGTAATTGTTGCACACTTAATCTCCCATAAGAACAGATCATTAGTAAAAGAAGTTAGAAATGCATGAAATGTAAGATGAATGTCAGCATTGTAAATCAAGATGATGAAAGACATGGAAAAGTAGAAAGAAAGCAAACAATTTAGGTAGAGTTAAGTATTTTCTGATGATATTTAAAAGAGGTTTAAAAGACTTTTATATGTATTTAAAAGTTTTTCTAAGGAACTTGATATGAGTCAATTTTATTTTCTATTTGGAGGGAGTTACAAAAATAAAACTGCTAAAATAGAAAAAATTACTTCCATGTCATCAAAATAAGAATAAAATAGAAAATATTTAATACAGTAACTGTGACAATGGATAAAATAATGGTTATCCCAATTTAATGTTATAACTACTCATTTCAAAATATATATTAAATAACCACTTCCATTATATTTCACACATGATACACACATATTTATACACACACATGCGCACATGCTCATTTGATAAGTGGGTATTGTGTGAAAAGGAGTCATATGCTTTAAAGTCAAGTAAACTAAAACGCAGATTCTGACACCTGCTAGTTAAGTGATTTTGAACAAGTTTTTTTTTTTTTAAACTTCTCTGAATCTCAGGTTTTATCACTTGCAAAATGCATCTTTTCCTGCACTTACTATTAGACCAAAAGGCCAATTGGATCAATAATGTACAGTGTGTAGGATAAATTACCATTTTACTTAAGACAATAAAATCTGCTTTGGGGATGATATGAACAGACACAATTGAAGATCATAAAATTGGATTAGAAGCAGGAGCACCACTGATTCATTGACTCTGTGAGAAGACTTGGCACTTAATTAGGTATGACCAGAGCCCAGGACCATAATGAAGTGAAAGATCAGAGAAAGATACGAGCTCTAAAATAATCCCTCCAATTAAAATTGATCACAGATGCACAATAATTAAAGCAGTCATTTATTGGAGCCAAAATAGGCTGGTAGGCCACTGAACAGTTTCCAACCTAAGAATGTAGTCTAGAATACGTGGGTGTTTCAATTTCATTCACTGGTCATAAACTCCAGAGTGCSGGTCTCATGATTTCTCTATTTCAACACTGTTTTTCTGAATTCAGTGCCTAGGTAAGAGTAGTCACTCAATACCTGTAGAACTAATAACACCATTAGCGATGTGAACAAATGAATGAAATGAGTAAAAGTCCAACTACTTTCAGTATAGTAGACACAGTGAGCCATGTACACTCCACAACTTTATGTGCACGGAATCCTACAGAAATAAGATGTAGTCATGGTGCTCCTTCCTGGTTTATGCTGAGGAGGAGGAAAGTTCCAAAAGTTGCTGCAGGTTTCCAGTGGAATTCAGAGCATCTCTGTCTTCCACAGGACAGGACGACATTGGCAGATGGATATCCATCAGAAAATCAAAATACTGAAGGATAAAGTCGGAAAAGTACTTGGATTCAGGCAGTTGGAGATGAGCCCTTGATGCAGACAAAGAGGTAACACAGTGGGGGTGGAGGTGCCCTTGGGTCTTGTGCCTGTGCTCCAACCGGGGCGGGGGCTTGGCTGCACAACCTCTGGGGTAGGGCCACCACCTGCCCAGGATTGTCACTGAATGCCAGAAAAGGGATGGAGAGGAGGGGCGAGTGGAGTGGAGGGGAAGAAAAGCATGTCTTATCACAGGAAATCAGAAAGTATTGTGCTGGGCTTTCAAACAGGCAAAAGTGGATAATTGCAACAGGTTTCTGGAAGTGAGTGCTGATGCAAAGCTTGAGAACCAAGATGAGTATGGATGAAGAGAGAGGAGAAAGGAGGACATTTCAGGCTGGGAAAAGAAACCTGTGTGGGAACAAAGGCAGGCAACAGGAAGCCTGGCCATCTGGCTAGAGTGGAATTTACATAAGAGTGGCCTTGAACAAACTTCAGATCCAAGGCCATGTGGAAAGGTCATCATCTGTCTTGCCAGTACATCAAGTATAATGGAAAATGTGGATGCTTAACAATTACCTAATATATAATAATGTTACTATCGATTTAATAATGCAATTAAATGATTTAAATACTTACTAGGAATTTAATAATGATTATTATAAATATTCCTCCAAAAGATGTGATTTCTTATGCATAGAACATTCATATGCATATGCTCAGAAGAAGACACCTGTATGTACACACAAGCATACACACTTAGACACAGCTCTAAGCAACCACGCATACACACTCAGAATAGTGTCACACAGACATGCAGTCATGCACAAGCCCATACACACACACTGGCACATAAGCTCACTGAAACACACAAACACACACACTCCAGGCTGAATTGTACCACAGATTCCCTTCTTACCTGGGCTTCAAGGATGTTGACTTTTTCTTTCAGATTTTCTATTCTTTTATCTTGTTCTTTTAAATTATTTTTTAATCCTTCCATCTAAGAATTAGGGGGCACAATTGGAAAAATCTTGTCAGGCCACAAGGAATAGTTAAGTCAGAAATCATATGGTTTTCTGAGGCCAAATGGTGCTCATCAAATAAAAGCATGATATCTCCCAGTATTAACAGACTCAGCAAGCTACAGAAAATCGCAAGCCAAATTAGCACCTGGAGAGGAAAGTCCTCAGATGGTGCTGTTAGACATTTTAACTTCTGAAGAACCTATTCACACCAAATTGAGCAGGAGCCCATCCTGTGGAGAGTAGCACTGGTCTCCCCAGAGGTCTCAGCAACCTCCTGGCCTCCTCCTGCAGATGCACCTGCTGATAGACTGAAGGCGAGGCGCATGGGGAGTGCAGAAGCTCCCTGAGCCTGCTTGTCAAGCAGTGGCAGGAAGATGTGACCTGCTTTGCCAAGAGGCCATGCAGAAACAAGACATGGGGTAGTGAGGTGCAGAACAGTACCCAAGAGAGGGCACAGTGGATTCTGAAGCCAACTCTGTTACCACCAGCTCTACCATTGAACCATTATGAGCCTTGGTCTTCTCATCTGTAAAATGTGAGTGTGAGATGCCCCCAAGATCTCTCCTGGCTCTCAAATCCCACTCCTCAACTTTCTGGCCTTCTCTGGCCTTTTATTGAAGCCATGGCCAAATGAATACAAGTGCTGACTTGTGTCAGGAAAGCACTGGGATTATTTTAAAAGGCTGCTTCTGGAAACAAATGCTATGTATAAAAACATGAAATGGAAGTCCAGTTTTACATACACATCTTGAAGTCTGTCTTGTACATTCCACCGCCTCACTGGTTGCTAACACTATTACTTCTTCTTTTTCTCCTGCCAGGGTATTCCTAGAGAACAGGCTAGTTCCTACCCTAAAACACATTCTAAATGAATTTACTAATTATAAGGTTATCAAAAAATATAACTTCTTATTTTTAAAAAATATTTTGTTTATTTGGTTATAGTTGGACACGATACCTTTATTTTATTTTTATGTGGTGCTGAGGATCAAACCCAGGGCCTCACACATGCTAGGCGAGCACTCTACCACTGAGCCACAATCCCAGCCCCAACTTCTTATTTTTGAAAAGTATGAATAATATACAAAATCTTCTGAATAACAACAGTGCATGGTATCTGACTCAGAACACCTACACAAACATCAATGGAACACCTAAAAAGCAGTTAAACACAATTTCCCAATGGTCCTTATTGAAAATATGGCAGGTGCTGGCGTTACTGTCTGTAACAGAAGATACTCAGAACTGAGCCATGTTGCATGAGAAAGCAAAAACATACATCATTGGGGAGAAGAGCCCCATCGCTTCTAAAGTCCAGGCAAGCTACCCATATTTGGCCTTCAGGCTGTAAACATACCATCTACCAGAGAAATGCACTCGATTAGCCTGACCTCCTGGATGATGCTGCGCAGGTTCTGATGCTGGGAGTGAATCACAAACTGCAAATGAGAGATCTGCTCCTGGAGAATGGAAATCTCTGTCTGAAGATCCTGGCAACTGGGAATGCAGAGGGGAAAAAAAGAAAGAAAGCTTTGCAAACAGGCTGGGCAGCTCTTTCCCCTGCCTTTAGGGCTAGGTCTCCTTACACACCCCAAGCTATGGAGCACTAGACCACACAGATCACACTGAGGATGAACAGCCAGGAAGCAGCTCCTGGGTTGTGCCTAGTCATGAACTTGAACAGGAATGCCAATTCATGTCACAAAATTTCTCCAAGAGGCAGCTGGGTTAAGTTGTATTTGGCCAAGTGAAGCACTTAACATTTCAGCTAACACTTTTGAGTCCACACAAACCATGGTAAAAAAAAAAAAAAAAAAAATATATATATATATATATATATATATATATATATATATATGTAGTTAGGTTTGAACTTAGATTGCTCATACTTTTCCAGACCTCCACTTGGGATACGGGAATTAATTTTCCAACTTTTGCTTCTTTCTCTTCTTCCAATATTAGTTATGAAGCCACATTCATCCCGGCAAGACCACCAAGGTTGGGAGTATTGGGAAGCTGAGAAGCCACTCACACTTTCTAAGTCTCGGTGTAACAGTTGCAATAACCTCTGCCTTTGCTACTTTATGAGATTAATCCATAGACTTGAAGAATAAAGTGAATATGCTTTTTGAAAGTAATGAGCTTTTCACAAAGTAATGTATCGATATTATTTCAGCCTTTTAAAAGTTTTGCAATGAGTAACCCTCATCCAATGCAATCACAATTCTGTATTTTTATAGCCTCTACATGTAAAGATCATGGAAATTCATAGAACACCATAGAACATGATCTCATTAGGGAAAAATAGGGTTATTAGTCTCCACTAGTTTCATATCATATATTAAGACATTGTTTCTCAAATTTATCAGGCATCAGGGATCTTGTTAAATCTAGATTCCAACTTAGTATGCAGGTGTAGGGCTTGAATTTCTGCATATACAACTGGGTGTTCCATGATGTTGCTGGTCTATGGATTATGCTTTGAGTAGTGCAGCATTAAACCACTAAAGGAGGCTCCATAACTTTTTGTATATAAGATACTCTTTCAAAACCATGTGACTTACTATCAGGCAACTTGCAAAATTCTTTTAAACTCTCTTTCTCTTTTGGTTTTGCATGAGAGGACTTTAGAAAAGTTTAGTTGACTGTACAAAACATTAATTTCCATAAAGCTACACTAATCCTTGCATATGCAAATAACATAATGATGACTATTACAATATATTTATCATATGGAGTTAAATAATTTATCCTACCAAAGTGCTGTATAATTATGCAAAATAAATGTCACAAAATACATGTAAAATGAGGCTCATTGTTGTTCATAATATAAAACAAAAGAGAAGGTTCTAAATGCTCATCAATAAAGACTGAAAAAATGAAGCATTGTCTATCTATGCCATTCAGATAGCCAATATATATATAAAGATGCTAAATATCATTGATATTCAGTGCAGCACAAATGGCAGCCATACATACATACATCTATGCACAACCAAAGTAGCTAAAATTTAGTAAGACTCAGAATACTGAGTCTTGGCAAAGRTTTGGAGCAACAGGAACTTTAACCACTGCCACTGGAAATTAAATTAATATAATCATTTTAGAAAACATTTTCTTTTGAAGTTAGCCAATCATCCATAATTCCATTCTTAAGTGTATTCCAAAATGTGCATTAGAAGACAGATAAAAAAATGTTTATGGAAACTTTATGCATGTTGAAACCTGGAAACAACCCTGTGAGATTCAGTGACAGGAGAATGGATAAGCGACTGTGGCTTTTTCACACATAAACCATGAATGACAGACACCAACAACATGACTGATGCTCAAAAACCACACAGAGCAAAAGAAGACCCATTTGTGCCACTCATCAGAAGGTAAAAATGAAAAACTTAGTCAAGGCAGCTGTTATGCAAGGGATACATAAAGAAAAGCAGGGACATGATACAGGACAGACCAGAGCAGGGCCATTTCAGGAAGTCACAATGTTCTGTTTTTTGACCGTGGTTTTGTTCACCCACTTATTTGCTTTTAAATAGTCCATTAAACCATAGGTAGTATTAATGTTCTGTGCATGTTTCTGTATGTGTGTCTTACTTCACATGCATGGGTGTGTGTGTGTGTGTGTGTGTGTGTGTGTGTGTGTGTATCAATATTTGCTTAAACAGAAAAGAGATGCAGGGGATACAAGCCAACCAACTAATGCTAGTGAGCTTTCTATGTTTATGAATTTGGAAGAATTCCATTTGTCTTTGGAGATTATCATGCTATTTAATCTTCTCTTGCTGTTTTTTGTTCGTTTGTTTGCTGTACAGGGAATTGAACCCGTGGGCGTTCTACCACTGAGCTACACCCCCAGCTCTTTATTTATTTTTTTGTAATTTTATTTTTTACCTAGAGACAGAGTTTCCCTAAGTTGATTATCATTGCCTACACAATACAATCTGCCAGCTACGTCCTCCCTCCCCATCCTGACTGACACGTTAAACAACTATCCAATTAGGAAAATTTATGAAGGAAGAAAAGGGCAGATTGTTGACGCAGGCTGAAGAAAGGCTACCAGTTCAATTGCGCCTTTGCACATGGTTTTTGTAACATGATCCACTAAGGGACCCATATCTCAGCAAAAACACATACTTGGACCTTTCCCTTGGACAGAGGAAATGTGAAATCGGAAGCAAGTAAATGTGCAGTTCATTGTTTTCTTTCCACAATTTGTGAGGAAAAGTATTTGAAAGAAAGAAGCTGGATGCCTGATTCAGAGGAAAATGCTGTGTGCTCATATTCCCGGATCTGACCACCACGGAGGCAAGGCACAGCCCTCTCAGCATTTCTGAAATTCAAGTTCAAGGAATAGCTGCTGCAGCACCAGCCTGCACTGGATTCCAGGTGCCCCTGAGCTCCAGGAACAGAGGCTTTCTTAAGAAGGAAAAAGGAGTCTGGGCAAATTTCAGATCCCCTAGCAGGTGAGGTTCAGGACCTGAGGAGGGGGTGTGGGGAACTTGGAGCCTCTAAGGAGAGTCCAGACTTCAGAGGTTTGCAGCATTTCAAAGAGAGTGAGAGTGAGAGGGGCCACAGCCCAGAGAATGAATCCTTGGGGCAGGGATCATCAGGAGTCCTTTATCTAAGATGCATGCTCTGCCTCCCAATGTCTCAATAGAATTTTTGATGGACGTTTTCCTCTGCCATGCAATAGAATAGAAAAAAGGAGTGAATATTAAAATTAAAATATAATTTAAAAACTTCAACTTCAGGGAAGCTTCTCCATTCTTTCGTGGTTAAGTACAACTAAAAACCCTGGACATTAGATATAAACAAGCATAAGAAGACTGACAACAATAAGAAGGTGGCAGACAGCCTTGGGATCCTAGGATCCAAGGGGGAAACATGGTGAGTTCTCAGAATTTTCTCTTTACCTCCTAAATCCCAGACTTGAAGCTGAAAAAGTTGGCAGTCCAGAATGTCAATGAGAGTAGACAAAAAGAGAAAAAGGAAAAAAAAGAGGAGTCTCTCCCTCACTCTCCAACCCCCCCCCCMAAAAAAAAATAAAGAAGAATACTGGCCCTTCCCTTTTAGGCAGGGAATTGAGGACTCCTTCCCAATTCATCACTGAGGGAAGATGAGGCGGGTACCTTTTCTGGTTCTCTTTCTGTTAGGATTCTTTAGCTTTCAAGACAGAAATTCAAGCTCGTTTTTAACTTGCAGAAATGTGAGAACAAATACCCCTGGCCTTTCTTTAGCACCTGGGGCCCTAGGGTCAGTACTTGACAGGAAGTCCACCCTCCGTCTCTGTACTGCTCTGCAAAAGGGTTGGTAGGAGGCACCCAAGTTCATGAAGCGCTGTCTCTCCATCTGTTCTTCAGGATGTTCTGTGGGCAGCTTCATTGGCCTTTGCTACATTGCCCTCTGTTCCATGCTGTTGCGATGGCTTTGATCGAATTGTTCTTTGGTGTCATGCTATTCTTTTCTAGAGGACGTTCTGAGGTGTGGCCTCAGGTGTTTTTCATGATATAGTTGAAGATATTGTTCATGATTCTCTTTATGAGCATATCCTGGACAATTTTCTTTCCAGTTATATGAACATATTTTTAAAAAGTGAACTTCTCCTAAAGAATTGGTTAGTTTTAGTCATGTGGACATCGTGAGTCACAGAACTAGTCATTAATTTCCTTTTTGGGTTGGTTTAAAAATGTGCCAGTGGTCTACTGAGAGCAAGTCTGCAGCATTCCACCATAGGCATTTTGTAGATTAACCACATGAAATGCCTATTCTTATATCTCCTTGGTCTCACCATCTATTTTTTTCCAAGTTAAGTAATGATGATATGACTTTTATAGGTTTTAAATAAGCAATCTTAGGGCACATAAATATAATATATATATATAATTGTGGGTTCATCATTCCTGGTCACATTGACACAATCCCAAAATACGATCTTTTTAGGTGTTTTCAAAGTGTACCAGGGATTAATGAACCCAACTATTGCAAGAATGAAAAGGAAAGAATGAAAAATCTAAAAAATTGGAAAAAAAATCAAAAAGAGATAAAAGAAGAAAGTAAAAGTGAAAACTGGAACCACACTGCATGCCCAAGATGCTACTTCTGGGCACAGCACACATTCCCTGGGCACTGGAAACACAACACTTCATAGAAGTGAGATTGGGAGAAAAGACAGTGGTTTGTGGTATCTAAGAGGTTCTCTGAAGCCATGCAAGAATCTTCTGCAGCTACAGGGACTTAAAGATGGCCTGCTGTCTAGGATATAATGTTTCTCTGGATCTCTGTGAGTGTCCACATTACTGAGTGTGGGTCCCCAGGGAAGAAGGGATGAGTGAGAATAGAAGAGGTTGGGTATTACCATCACTCAGCCAGACAAGAGGTAGAATCAGTATGGATGTAGAGGTAGCTTTATCCATATTTCAATAAAACTCAGGAATATGTCTTTTTTTTAGCTCATCAAAATCCTTTCCATTGTTATTTCCAGTGACGGCACCAAAGGGATGGCTTTTAGAGAGCCCCCTATTGACCGCAGGTAAACACACACTTAAGTGGCAACCACAGCATGCTTTGACATGCAGCCTCAGCTTCGAGGTAACCGTCTTTCCATCTCTGAGGTTGCGCATGCCTAAGCAACTCTTACCTAAATGGGGGAGCCCTTGCTGTTAATTTTTATAAATCCCAAATATGACTTTYGCATGAACTTGTGTATATGTCGGTGAGGTAGCAGGCAAGCCGGGAAATAGCTTTCTGCTAGCCATCACACCGGAGGGAGGGGAAACCAGTAGGAAAACTGGAGCCAAATCCTGTAAGCCAATCCCAGCCTGGGAGAGGTCAAATAGCTTGACAAGGTCCTTAGTTATTAAAAGCCCAGATTGCTCCTTGAAGGTCAATGGAAGGATTTAATTAGATATGGTACCTGGGGTTACTCTGAACTGTAAAGCACTATCCATGTGTCTGCTAGTGGTAATGGTAATGGCAATACAGTCAACCTTATGTTCAAGAAAACACATCTTTTAACTTTCCAGTTCTTCTTCATGGCCATATTTATCCGACTTGAGCCTGCAGAAATTCCCTTTATTTGAGAGAGGTTTACCCAATCTCTACTGCTCCAACCCAAAGGTGCTGGTTCATGCTGATTTCACTGTGTTGTCACACAGCACCATGAATGCCTCTCCATTCAGCTCGGAGGAGATAATAAGGAAGACAGAATACGTGTGATGCTACACACTATGTAGCACATAAGCCAGATAAACCACATAAGCCAGATGTCCAAACACCTTTCTGGGAGCACAAAACATCCATTTCCTTCAAGAAATTTCTGAAATCTCTTTAAGAGCTTTGGGAGAATTCCTTATGACAATTGCTAATATAAAACAGAACTGAAAAAAAAATCAGGTTTTTTTTTTTTAAGGATTATACTGTTGACTCAAAGACTGACAAAACCCCCATTATCTGTTAAAAAGATCTCTTAAAGAAAAGTATCAAACTCAGACTGCCTTGACTCTTCATGAAAGATACTGTATGATCCAATAGTTCTGCTATGTGGACCAAAAGCTGTATTTAAGGGGAACGAAGTAAGCCAAAGATGGACTTAGAGTTAAGTTACAGGTATTCTTAAGTAATTCTGTCACATTGGAAGGATACTTTAAGTAATTTCACAATATAGGATGCTCTCTGCCATATTCTCTTCACTCTCTACCAGGATGCACAGGGCTACACAACTGTCGTAGGAATCTCCCTGCTGGGGTTACACGCGTGTCCAGAGAGAAGAAGACAGGAAAATAGTGACTTACTGGTATCTCACCATATTTCAGGTATGTGTGCCTGATTGCCAGGTTCAGCCATTTCTGGTGGTAAAAAAATTGTGACTATGAGCCAGACATATAAGGAGAGATGAGAAGAGAGCAAGAGAAATCAGAAGGGAAAAGGAAGTTAGGGGAAAAGACCAAAGATCAAGAAAGAGGATATGGGTGTGCATACTACTGAATAAATGAAAATATGAATTTGCCCCCTGTGAGGCACCTAATAGTGCCTGATGACCCAGTGAGCGAGAGTTCTAGATGGATGGACTAAGATGTGGAAAGAAAGCTGACTTCAAATGTGATCTATTTGCATCAGAACTACCACGGCTGTGGTGGGCTTAGAATAAAAAATGAGAACAGAAATGTCTGATGGTGTGAGTTATGACTCAATGTTCTAGAGGATTCTCCTAATGACAGCTGAGTAGGACAACCCGTGATGTCCACATATCCAGCCCACCCGAGGGCACTGCAGCAGCTAGAGAGGTGTGACGATGAATCAGTTCCAAGATGGCAGGATGTTTTCCATAGTACCTCCTTCATCCTCTCCTGAGCTGTGGAGAAGTACCCTAGAATTTGACCTGTGGGCTGGGTGGTTTGATGTGGGCTGCAGAAGAGACCCCTGAACAGACAAAAGCATGGGGAATGACAGTGTCTCCAGCATCCTTAACACCAAGAGCAAACAGGGAGGCTGCAGGCTCACTCAACTCTTCAGAAGGATTAACCCCACACACACCACCCCCCCCCATTCCTCAGTGGGTGAGGAAAAGAAGCATAGGGCTGTTGTTCCTAAAAATTCATCCTCCTTCCCACTTCATTGGGGGGTGAAAAGACTGTCCACAGTGGAGCCTGCCAGTGGAGAGGAAAGCTATCAGGAAGTACTTTGATTTAGCAGGTAGACTTGCAAACCTTTTAGCATATGCAGTGTTGGATTTGAGTTGCAGCAGCTTGGTTTCCAAAGACAGTTTTCTTTCTAGCAGTGATCTCTTTTCCTAGGGGAAAATAAGATACAAGTTTTGTTTATTTTCTGTGTGTATGTGCATGTGTGTGCAGGCACACACATGTTTAGTGAAGCATTCTTCTTGCAAACTGTTCACAAAAGATGCCTCTTGCAATGCGAGAAATACAGATTGAGCTAAAGAGCTCATTTCCTAAGAGCTGTTTACAAGGTACCCCAAGACAGCCTGGTTGGGCTTTCCTCTGAGTGCTTTACAAGGAAGTTAAAAGTAGTTTTTACCCTCATTCCCCTGCTGCCTAGAGAGCTTGCTCCTCATCTAACCCACTGCTGAAATGGAGCCCCTGCAGCTTGACCTCTCCCATCCTCCTCCTCAGTCCCACCCCAAATGCACAGTCTGTTCAGTCCCTGCTCATCACCACACCTGCCTCTCCTCCATTAGGCTGAGTGGTTGGTATCCAAGGACACCAATGCGCGTACCTTGATACCTCTACCTGCTCTCGTGGCATCTGTCGGGAAAACAGGAAAGTACTAAATGTATTTTTAATGACGGATCAAGGCCACAGACAATTAAATTGCTTCCTAATTAGGATCCCAGAAAAACTATGACACTAAAAAAGAACATCTTTACACATGCTGCCGTTTAATTATTAAACCAAACTATCTTCATCCCAAAGGAAAATAGACAAGTCCATGAAAAACCAGGCTGGGACGATTGTGTTCGGTGTGTATTTGATGGCAACATGCTGAAAGAAGGAATTTAGAGTTTGGGTTGGCTGCTTTAAGTAGCCAAGTTGGGATGTGGGGGAATCAGGAAAAAACTGAAAAGAGCAGGAATTGGTATCGGCAAACTGGATGGCACTGACTGAAAGAGATTTTATGAAAATATCCACAATGCTATTTAAATCGCTTCTCACTGTGGTATTTATACGGGTATTACACAGGCAGAGCACACAGCAGAAGCATCYGAAAGACTCTGCACATGGGCTGATCCAGTTTTGAAATTTGGGTCCAAGGTTTTAGCCTCTCTGGGTCTTATTACTGTTAAGAAAAATTAACCAAAACTCAGAAATAAAAGCAACATGTGCTGCATGTAGTTTTCACGTCACATTACTAATCTGACCCCTGAATTATTTAATTTACTCAGATAATTTTCCTGTGCCTGACTTTGTGATCTGATTAGAGTTCTGACTCTCTGAAGTTGCATGTTAATGTATGGATTCCTGTCTGGTAGGAAAGCTGATCCCAAAGGTTATGGTTTAATTGCCTCAAAGAATATAAACYACTTTTTAAAGTCTAACCTAAAAACCTGATTCTATACTCCTTTCCTTCTCACAAAATGCCTAAGTAAGTAGCCAGTTTCTCAAAATACTTTATTTAAATCAGCTTTACCATCTTACTGGTTCCCTCATTAGTTAATGAGTTGAATAAAACATTCGATGACATGTATTCATTCTATATTTGTATGAGTCACATTTTAAAATTTATGAACATCCCTAAAATGAGGATAATAATCCCTAAACTGAAACCTTGGGATGATTAGAGATAATGTATGTGAGAGGCCTACCTGCTCCCCTGGCATGGAGCTGGACCTCAGTATATAATAAATTTGAGAGTATGAATTACTTCATATCCTATGTGTTCTGAGATTTTTTTTTTAAATTATGCTAATTTATTCAAATTTCTCTTGTGGAATTCTTGATCCACAGAAATTGTTCCAGAGTAGCCATAGTTATGTTCAAATTCTTTCTGAGCCTTGCAAGCTAATGATGACATTTGGATGACCAATAAAACCCATCAAAGATCACGTATCTTAAGTTTGCAGGTTGGAGGAATGGTGTTTTGCAATCGTTCTTCCAGATGGACTTCTTGTTGATTAACAGATTTTCACAGTCAAGAGTTAAAAGAGTCCACAGACAACTGAGKAAAACCTCCAAGCCAGGCCAGGGTTCTAGCATCCGGCTTGGGCTCTTCACACACCCTCTTGGGCAGCACAGTAGGTCACAGGTTACCAGCTAACACTTCTCTGACTGTGGTTTCATGGTGTGAATAGCATCACACCGTGGGCACCTGCTGTTCCCAAAGCCGCACCCCCCAGGAGGCAGTATCAATAGGAGAGGAGTCGACACCAATTAGAGTCATTACCAAATGTTCCCATCTAACTGATGTAGGGGCCCAGAATGTCATTTTATCTAGCATAAGAAAAGAGAGCGACATAATGGGAAGGGCTGTGAAYTTGAAGCTGGAGGATTACAGAATACTTCCTTGGCCCCCCCCCCTCGGTTATAAAATGATGATGAGAAACTAGGTGGTCTCAGAAGTGTCTTTGAGCTCTAAACTTCTAATGGAGCTAAATCAATGACACTAAGAATCAAACATGATTCAAYAGAATTGCACTGTTAGCAAAAGGAGAATGTGCCATATGAAAATGTTCTTATTGGGCGTTTTCGCTAGCTTATCACTGTGTGTGCGGAATAGATTCTCACTGCATTCCTGATTAAAGTGGGACAGATGGTGGAGGTTTTAAGTCATGTGTTCATTACCAGACCTCATAGCACTAATGGCTATTTACTGGAGCAGGGCCTTGTTCAAGTGAGTAGCAAATGAATTCTTCTCTAGGGGTACCCACTACTAGGGCGGTATTTATCACCCTTTCTGAGAATGAGCATTTTTTTTTCATTTTTACTTTCTTTTGGAACTGGCATCTTTTCCCTATTAATACAAAAAGGTTTAGGACTCCCTCCCCCCATTCTAACACACTCCCTATCTGAGAAACTTCCTCCAAGCCTGTCTTCTCATTATCTCCTTAAACCAAGATGGTGCCAAGTTTTACTTCTTTTAATAGTTTTATTTGTTTGTTTACAAATATAAAATATCTTTAAATTAAATATGTTAAAAAAAAAACACTCCATGCTCCTCCACTCCATCTCCACTCAGCTCAACCTCACAGAAGTTCCCCAGAGGCTCGACCCCAGAAACCACTGAACTTTGGCATTCTAGAAGGTTAGCACATGGCCTGGCTTAGCCATGGGCATCCAGTCTATTACTCTGTCACAAATCTTCTCTAGGCAGAGAACAGTTATGGGTCAACATTACAGGCAAGCTAAGCCTTTGCCTCTAAAAAATGCCCTGCCAGTATCTGAGCCACTGACCCTTAATCTTGAATGTGTCCCCCTACATTCAACATGGGTTTTAGCCTTCCCCAAAAGATCCTTAGGAGAATTAGAGGCAGAAGCAGCACACAGTCCAGTTCCACACACTGTAATCTCCACAAACAGTGACTGTGTCCATTCATTCCCAAGCTCATTCACCCCAGCTCTGCATAGCACATGGTAGGTGCTCAAATCTACTGAATAAATGGTTGATTAAATACATCCCGGAACTTTGAGACCTAGCATAATAACTCACACATGGTCTGGAATTCCTGGGGTTGTTAGAAAACAGAAATTATCTTCCACTGTCCTTTTGTTAATTTTCAGGCACTAACCAGTGGCCACTAATCTGACCTGGTGTTTGCTGGATTTGAGATAGGATGATTGCAAGTTGAAGGTTACATTCCAAACTGGTTGATCAAGTTGTTTGGTTAGACAACCCTATGTGCTTTCCAGAACTGTTTTCCTTTTCTCAATGCAAACATTCATTGTGCTTAGTTTCTAAATGATTTACTATCAAATGGAGTTTTCTAACACTATCAAGTACCAAACCAAATATTGCAGCTTTTCCAAGAGAGTGTAATTATAAACTGGCCTGCCTGCATACACCAACTGCTTAAGGACATTCTAGTCCAATGATTCTACTGAAGAACAGCACCCAATACCTAATAGGAGTGTAGCGGTGTGTTGTTATTAGATAACATTAAGTTTAGGCTTATTTAGTTTTTTCGATTTCCTCTTATTTTTCCTCATTAAGATTATAAATGCAACTAAATTCAGTATCACAAATCTTACATTCTTGGAAAATACTTTAAAACTAATCAAAGTTCCTTCAGTAAGAAATATGAATACCGTTGAAATGTGACGTTTTTGAAGTGACATTTTTTAAAATGCCATAACAAAGAAGACTTGGAAAAAATATTGAGGTTGAGAAGAGCAGAAGTAAATCAGGAGATTAAAACAATAAATATAAAACACATCAGGTGGAATTTCCTAGAAGCCAAACCTATGTTCTTATCTACACTGAATACAGTTTCAGAAATGCCAATTTCTTGTTTGTTTTCCTATTAAAAGTTAAAATTCCTTGTTTTGTTTGAATTCTAAATTCTAAGGCAWGAATAATTAAATTTATGTGTTTATCTTTTGTATGCATTTGGAGTGCCAGCCACTTAAAGTAACACTGCATGAACTGTTTCCCAATTTTTCTTCTATTATTACTCTTTTCCAAATCCATCTTTGAAAAGTTCTGATTTCCAAAGAATAGATTTTCTTACTGTGAACTCTCTTTCTCCTGGTGTAAACATTAGTTTTTATGTATTCAGAGGGGTCAAGAGTGGCCAGAAATGAAGACTGCTCTCTCTACACACACAAAAGGCCATGAGGGGTAGCATCTGCCGCATTATTATTCCAAGAGGTAGATTCTGTGGTATTTTCCATTATTTCCATTCACAGCCTGACCTGGTTTCCCATTCTAAGATGTGCATTTACTAGAAAGAGAAAGTGACAGTGATATCACTACATTATTTGCTAAAGTAAATCCATAACTATAGCACAGATCATATTAAGTGTTAAAGAGAAGAAGCTAACATTATTGAGCACTTCCTAAGATCAGGTATCATAGGAGGAAATTTCATTTCATATTATATTATTTAATTTAATATCCTATTTTTTCAGTGCTATTGTCTTTCATTTCCCCCCAGTCCTGTCAGGAAGAAATCCCTTTCGTTCTTCAGAGACTTACCTTTTCCATTCTCTCTAGAAGGTTCTCCAATTCTGTGATCTGACTATGTTTTTCTTCAAGTTTTTCAGTGACTTGATTCAGATTTTCAACATGTTGTTTCAATTTCTGTTCTTTTTCAAGCTTATTAACCTTTGGTCAGAAAAATAGTTACCAGATTGTTTTTATTAAACCATACACATAACATGTCCCTCTAGAATTTTCTAACTAGCCACAGAAATGAATAGCTCACACTTGTTTAGAACTATTCTTTTGATTTCAGTGTTTTCTTTGAAATAATCCCGATGAATGCAATACTAAATCAGTAGAGAATAATAATATATAAATATGATCCCTAGAATGTTGACATTTGTCACCATAGAGCCCGCCTCCCAAAATGGTATGAGAAAGACACATGCTGATTTAAGAAAAGCAAAATATTTAACTGTTTCTCAACAAAAATTATCTAGAATAAAAAATAAAAGCTTATATGTTCAATTGAAGGTGTTTCTTTTTAAATCAGGAAGTGTCATAAAAGCAGAATAATTATCCCCAACGTGTCTGGGTTTTTTCCCAGGCGTGCTGCAGGAGGGGAAAGACCCCAGAAGAAAAGTCTCTGCTTGGCCTCCTATAGGCCACACTTGGGAGTGTTTCAACTTGACCTCTACCTGACATGATCATAGATCTCTGTTGCAGAACTTGAGATTTCTCAGTAAAAATAAAAGCATCTGTCTGCCCTTGAAAAATCCAGGCGGGCATTCCTGCCAGGCTGCTTGGGGTAAGGCTGATGTCCCATCACAGGGACATGCATGACCTGTCTGCAGGTCCCACTGCTCCAGTGGACCCCTTGCAGGGGCACAAGCCAGCCAGGCCATTTCATTTGCTTATATTCTTCACCCGACCCCGCACACAGGCGAGTTTGTAGCTGTCATCATCATAGCCTGAAGCAGGAGGAGCATGACCTAAGCAGTGAATTTCCTACTGTGCTCCCAAGGGGACCTTATACCTAAGGCCAGACCAGGTAGAGACCCAGGCACCTCATCCTGTGTTTTATATTCTGAGTTTCAGTACACACACACACACACACTCACACACACATTCTCTCCTCCAATCCTAGAACATTTTTCAGACGTTTATCAGTCCTAACACACATAACTCTGATTTAAAATAAAAGCAAACAAAAAACTGTGCGTGAGTTTGCATGTGTGCACATTTATTTTTATATCTTTAAATATATTTGTACGCACACACAATTTATGTTTGTTTTTTCCCTAATCAGAAGAATGTATTCTAAGACCCAAGTGATCTTTAATCCATTTATCTGGCCCGAAACCCTAGCAGCTCGGCCATATCTGGTGTGGGCTCAGCAGGGCTGGGGCAATCGGCACAAAAGACCGCTCTTCTGCCTCGTCTCTGCCCTTGCCACATCACCGGCTCTGGCTTGTTCCACATCTAACTCCTCCAGAAAGAGGGACTAGACTGGCTCCCATGGACCAGCTGGTAGTTGGTACCTGGAGTAATTGTTTACTGTCCTCGTGCTTCTTTCTCACGTCTTCAGACTGTGCTTGGTAGTTTTCAAATAATTTCTGGGCCACATTTCTCAGAGCTGCTGCTCCTGCTTCTCTGGAGGCTTCCAGCTAGGGAAAAAGGTCACRCTGCATGTTTTGACATTTCCAGTTAAAAGGGTGAGAGGCAGAACATGTTGATGGGCAATTAAAAACAGAGACTCTGACTCTACCATTTGCAGCCCCATAGACAATGGATGGGAGAAAAGACACTGTTATTTGGTAAAGAAAAACGTAAAATAAGAAACCCCTTGTTTAGTGGGTCAGTGCATGGAGGCATATCTGTCCTGGCCAAGCCGAAACAGAGCTTTAGGTGCATGCATGGTAGCTTCCTGAAATAGAAGTGGGACAAGCTTGAAGTAGGTGGGCAACAAAAATTTCAGGATTGTGAATCTTTCAAAGCTTTAAATAGGGAAATAAAGATGGCTGCAAAGATTATCTACTAAGATATTCACTGTAGGACTGAATAGAAAATAAGGCCCCTCAAAGAAAACATAAAGCATTCAATAATGGATCAGTGAAACCAATAGTGAGGCATCTATGAATGCTATAATTAATGTTTATTAAATATGCAGATGCTTTTTAAATTTATTGTGGAAAGAAACTTAGCTTGAGACTTAGCCTCTTGAATTTGGAAGTGCACAGTACAGCATTGTTAACTATAAGCTCCATCTCTAAAGCAAGCCTTTAGGATTTACTCAACTTTCATAACTGAAACTTTATACCCATTGAACTTCTGTAAGATCTCTTCACTAATAACAGTAAACCAAGTTGAGACCTAATTTGTGAAATGCTTCTGTACACACGTGAGCACCCGTGTGGGCCTGTGGATGTGTGTGGGTGTCACTCAGCTTGCACAAAACAACAGATGCTGACCACCTGTCAGCTCCAAGSCTCAAAATGTGAGATTGGAAATTTCCCCTAATGGTCAGACCTTGATTTTCAATACTTCATTCTCCTTGTTCACTTCTAAGAGCTGCAGGTCTTTTCCTCTCAGTTTTTCCACGAGCAAATCCAAGCTGCAACAAGAGGGGTCCACTTCAGAGTCGGAGCCATTTTGAAAGTTTCCACAGGGCTGAAATGGACAACATGGAATCACTGAGCTGGCCACTCCTTTCCTCATGAACTCGGACAACAATAGTTATCATTCAGCATTACACAGACCAAACCAGCTGGCCTCWACTTTATTTATTTATGTATTTATTTATTTTGCTTTTTRTACAGGAGATTGAACCCAGGGGCACTTTGCCACTGAGCCACATTCTCAGTGTTTTTTATTTTATATCTTGAGACTGTGKCTCACTTAGTTGCKGAGGGCCTCACTGAGTTGCTGAGGCTGAGTTCAAATTTGTAATGCCACWCTCAGAGCAGCATCCCAAGTTGCTGGGATTGATCATAGGCGTGTGCTACCACACTAGGCTGGCCTCTACATTTGCTCAAATTTGAACAGATTCTTACAATAAATGAGGTAGGACTACATGTCTTTTTCCTTTTATATCGCTTATAGTTTCAAACATACTGTTAAATGCATCTTAGGAGATAAAGAATATCCACAGACCAAATTTCTTATCTAAGTCATGGCATAAATATATTTTGGTTGCACTGCATTACACACTAATATAATTGGACCTAATAGGTATGATACGTAATATTCAACGTTCAACAATGTTTCACTGTAATTAACTTAGATCTCATATTAAATTTCCAATCAGGGACATCAGAATGGAGTACCACAGCCATTATAATTCTATGTAACTGTAGCTCACTGAAACTACACTTGGAGCATAAATACCATCTGGATTCTTAAACATCTGGAGGTGGAAAGAAAATAGTAAACTTCCAACTTAGCACATCAATTTTCCAAAAACCAAGGACCAGAACCCAACTTTACATAGCAAGTGAGAGAACTCCCAGTACAACTTCTTGATATCCATCCTGTGCTCTTTAAACTTATTTCAAGGCAGATGGAAAAAAATATATATTATACAGATACTCAATTTGCTAAGCACCTACTAATACTACTGTGTATTCCATTGTCATTGTCTGAATACTCAAAATGATAGAAGACACTATGATCTTCTTACATAGGAGGAAATTGAAGATGAGAGTTTAACAAGAGTTATGCATAAAATAACTACCACCACCAGAACTAGAATGTAAGCTTGCTTCGCAACTAAGCCTTTCTTCTTTCCACTACATATGCTGACTGCTTTTGCAAAACTAAAACCCCAAAAGAATACAGTGCAGAAAGATGCAGAAAGATAACACCGTCCCTCACCAGAACTCTGCCAGATTTGACTCTTAGGGTCCCGACCCTAGTGTGTTCCCTCACTGTCCATATCCAGAGTAGGAATTATTTTGTTTTTAAATTTGCTATTGAATATTTGACAGAAAACTCCCGTGGAAGGTAGATTATTGGCATTAAAGGATGGCTACAAAGGACATAGATCAGTGTTTTTCAAACTTTAATGTTTGAGAAGAATGACTTGGTGCGGGATCTGGTTAAAGATGCAGGTCCCAATTCAGGAAGCCTGGGGTGTTGGCTGCCTATCTAAAAAGCTCCTGGTGATGCTACTGCCACTGAGACTGAGCCACACTCGGAGCAGCAGGACCCGGCACTATAACCAAGCAATCCCTGCAGGGCCAGGTAGCTGATATTTTGGTACTCAGTGGGTCTACTCAGCTTGTGCATTTGATATGGCAGCACATGTCATATCATAAGAAGCTACTTCCAACAAACCGCCAACAACTCCATGTTGCTATTTACAATGGGCAGTCCTCAATTTCCTTGACCATAGACAACAGTAGACAGAACGATCCCGCCAACTTTCTGAAATCRTTTCCTCACTTGCCCTTAGTGACTCCATTTCCAATGCTGTTCTTCCTGCTCCTTCGCCAGCTTCTTGTCTCAGCCTCCCATCATGGTTCCTCTTCCTGACACCTAAACATCGGGAAGCTCAAGACACAGTCCTCAGATTGTCTATCTATGATCACTTGCCTGGGAATCTCTTCCAGTTTTAGAACTTTAAGTATCGCCAATAGTGCCCCAAATCTCTAYCCTGTAACCTGGACCTAGAGCCCAGACTGCTACCCTCAACTGCAGAATCAGGTGTCCAGCTGTCTTGCTCCTTGAAGACCAGCCAACYCAACGTGGCCAAAACTGATTTTGATATTCCCCATCATCCCCAAACATACATTCCCCCATGTGCCCCACTTTCAGAGCCCTTGATTTAAGAAAATAATTGGGGCTAACCGTATCAGCTTGGAAGGCTGAGGATGAGGAAGGGGTTTATATTTACACATCACACCCTCTGCTCTGATGGTGTACTCTGTGGCCATTTTGTTAGTGGGTGACAGTGATGACGTACACTTGCTTAGATGTGGTTAGCCGGGCACAATTCAGATAAAGCTAAGTGCAAATTGTTCCACCTTAGGTACATTAAGTTGGTGTGGCTTGAAAGATCCTCACTAACCCAAGCCTAACATCTTTAACTGTGTGTCCATTGATACAGCCCAGGTGAGCCCATAAACTTATATCTTAGTCTGTCATAGAGAAATGCTGCTAGGTTTCCTTCCTGTGCCAACATTTTCCCATGCAAATCAGGTAAGTTATCTCCCATTAAAGTATTCCAACAAGGCCTGGCTATTCCAGTGTGATCTGATTAATGTCACATGTGGGCAAAGATTCTACACATTTGGCCATTAACATCTTTAGATACACATGAAATATTTATCACTCCTCCTTCAAAGCTTCAAAGAAAAATAATTACCAGAAAATTTACTTAAGTAAGGTCAATATGGCTTTTTGCTAATCTTCTGAAAGAATGCAAGTAGTAAATTTTGATAAATTTATTACCTTTGCCTCTCGTTTGTGATTCCTACTGTTATGTCTTACTTCGTCTTTAAACATTTGACTTCTGATCTTTTCCAGAGTAGTTCGAATCTAGAGGGAGAAAAAAATATATTTTTTGCAAATGMATTTAATGCCAAATACTCTTAAAAAAATCTATGCAAGCTATAGAATACCTGATTTTTCTAGAAAGTAACATACATATGMTGATGTCAGATTTATACAGTGGCTATCACCTTAACTTGAATTTAGGCTGAAATGATTTAGATTGCTGAAAATAAACGTTTGGCTCTTAAATATCTTTTTCAGACAAACTCAGAACCTGATAAGCTAAATTAATATTATACTACAAAATACTTATTCAGTAATTAGCACTTAATACTATCTATTTGGTTCTATTTTATCTATATAGTAATTTAGTACTAATTTACTGTTTGGTAATTACTATAAAACAATTACTAAATTAGTAATCACTACAAAACAATTACTAAATTAGTAATCACTACAAAATAATTACTATTCCGTCATTACTACAAAATAATCACTACCCAGTAATTACTACAAAATAATTGCTATTAAGTAATTACTACAGAATAATCACAAAAAGGAATTCATATAAATTTATGTATGAAATATGAGCCCCATGTCGTGATGACCTACGAAATGGCAAGATACTCAAAGATAATTGAATTAGTTGATCTAAACAAGTTATGAACTATCCATATCGGAGTTCATCCATCTGCTCTAAGAAATGATTAATACAAATATCTCTTTCGTTAGCCCTCATCATCCTGGATTCTTGTAAGACCTCACATTTTTTAATGACGTGTAGTCATTAGCAGTAGCTGCCCTGAAGTGTGGAGAGGRGCCAGGTAAAGAGAAAGACACTCAGCGGGAAACATAAACATCTACTTGGGAACACAGTACCAGCACTCATGAAACCACTGGGAAAGGTTATAAAACAGTAGGAAATCCAGCAGAGAACAGCACGGGGCAAATTAAGTGCTGATAGGTGTTCTGAATCCTCCTGGCCCATTACTCAATTTTACTGGGGAAAGAAAATCATTTTACTCCAAGTGTCGGATCAGGTTCATATCCTCAAGAGAAATCACTAACCGTGTGTTCACATTTYAGCTGCCAAGACTGTCCTTTGCCAGGCTAGATCTGTTTCTTTTATACTTTCCATGGAAAGGGAAAAWCCAAGCCCACCAACCATACTAGAATTTATCCTAAAAAAAAAATCAGGCGCAGGTGACTGCCAGCACCCAAATACCTTTTTCACATATTCAGTCTCTTCAATAATGTGAGCTGACGTAGATTCATACAAGGCAGAATCCTCCATCTTTTTCTTTGGGGGAACTTCTGTGGTCACTGTTATTGTGGTCATTGTGAATTCTGGCTTTAAGAAAACATAAATGAGCTGAGAAAAACATACTTTCCCAATTAGATGGTCATATGATTCACATACTTACAGGAGGAGTTCACTGTAGTCAAAAGTAGGCAATGCAATCTGTACACGTGTAAAAATAAGAATTCATACCCCATTTGAATCAAATGTATGAAATGTCAAGATCATTGTAATGTTTTGAGCGACTAATAAAAAMATTTTTRAAAAAAGTTGGCAAAAATGATGAGTCCTTAGAATCTGTAGATATCCATTAAAATTGAATATGGAAGAAATATCATCCAAAGCAAACATAATTAAAATTTTTGAAAAAAATCTGAAAGAGGAAAATATGAAATTTCTTTTTCTTTAGCATCATCTTAGAATTATTATTAATCAAGAATAGGGGACATGTGTTATTCATCTTTATTTTGTAGCCTGTTGTTAGTGCTTAAGGAATTTCTGTAGAATTAATAATAGAATTAAGCAAAACCATGTTGTGTTTGCATATATCTTTATATATAGTTTATAAAGTGTATTTATAAAAACTATTTGTAATAGTGAATGACTGGATTTAAAAAAAATGCCCACAGAGATTGATTGGTTAAATTAATCTAATTTATCATGCAGTTACCTCTAGTATATCTTGTCCAATTAAAGATATGGTACTGAAAGAAATATATAGGATCCTACTTTCTATGAGAAGGTGGGAAATGGGAATGGAAAAGGAAAATCTATGTCTTATAATTTTGACATAGGGCCATATAAATATTTTCAATAACTGTAAAATAGAATTTAAAAAAGAAAAGGCAATCATACAAAATAAAAACAAAATGATAAAATGACTATATCTACATATAAAGTTGATGGCATAGAATTATTTCAAGTGATTCAAAAATTATTTCAAGTGATTCAAGTGATCTTTGGTGTGCTATATTTGTTCTAAGAACAAAAAGAATGATTTAAAAAATCTTAAACTATATTCATCAATAATAATGTTAGTAGAGTTAGTGGAAAGTTTGGTATTGCTACTTTGAAACTGTGTGTGTGTGTGTGTGTGTGTGTGTGTGTGTGTGTGTGTGTTCAGGCAAGCTTCAGTGCATACTATAGAAAAAAAACAGTAAGTAAATGAGTTAATATCATTAAAAGTCAAGATTTTTTTGTCATAACAGAAAAAATAGCTCATAGAACCAGAAATGTTAAGTAAAAATCTTACAATGTCACCTAGAATTATGAGTATAAAGCAATGATTTTTTTTCCTTAAAAAATATACATTCTACCTCTATTCACTGAAAATCCTAGAAGCAGTAGCAATTAGCACCCTGGTGGCCATCCTCTGCTCCTTKTGTGTCTTAAATTGCTAAAAAAAACCTCCAGCATCTTGGTTGATCCAGGTTGAGGGCAAGAAATGCATCAAGTAAGTCTGAGATAGTACATCATCCAGCAAGCAAAAATTTGATAAAATATTACTTGAATAAGACACAAAAGCCATCCTGAGGAGCAATGACCATGCTGGAGGGAAACATCAGAATCCTAAATCCCTAAGTTTATAATGACAGGTGAAAACCCATCAGCAGCAGCCTYGTTGCCCACCTTGGAATTCACTAAGGCTTAACTCAGTGGAATAAACACCACTATATTACAACCTAGAGGAGGGAAGGAGGGGAGAAACGAGAAAAAAGGGAGTGAGGGAGRGGAAAACAGGAAGGGAAAGGAACCAGCATTTGTCTTGTCTTTACTCTATGAACTGTATTTCATGGTAGTTGTTGAGGGAAAGGTTTCTAATGAGTCCACAAGGACTGAGGGAAACCCACCACTTTCAGCCCTCTGTGAAATAATGGATCTGAGCAAAAACCATTGACSAACTAAGATCGTGAGGTGGAAGTTCAATGAGGATACATTAACCTGAGAGGCCTTATGCATCAATCTTAACCAAAAATTGCCATGAATTAAGAGTCCTAAGAGACACATGACCAAATGCAACCTATGAACTGTGCGTGGATCTTGCCTTGTATGTGTGARGCACTGCGTTCGATTCCCAGCACCACATATAAATAAAGAAATAAAATAAAGGTCCATCAACAACTAAATAAATAAATAGCAGGGAGGAAAAATGGTGTTGGAATAGAGATGAAAGAAGTTAAACAAAATATAGGTAATTGTTGATGCTGGATGGTGGGCAAATGGGGCTCATTATACCCTATTTTGGTTTTGCTTTACATTTCTAAAAAAAATAATAAGGAACTAAAAAATAAACTGYAATAAAAAGTGCTGCAAAATAGAATTATTAAACCCATTTTCTGGATAAAGAAATCAAGATTCCCACAGTAATGTTAACTTACCCAAGATACAGTAAATCCAGCGGAGCTAAAAGTCAAACGTTGGACTTTTTGAGACTAAGTTCAGGGGTGTTTCCACCCCATTAAGTCTGGCTTCCCTAGAGAGAAACAACAACAACCAACACACAGCAAGATGTTTAAAATCCAGCAATACCTCTGCTACTAAAAGACAAAGAATTTTCCCATTGGCCTATATCACTTTGAAATAAGATAGCCCCTGGGGATACCAGAAAGCCCTGCATTTATCCTCTAATCTTCAAAGAAATTGACAATGCATGCCAAGCATTTTCCATTTTATTATAAATCCTCTTAGACAGCCCCCAGGGCTTCAATTTGCTTTGGCTGAAGCTGAGTGGRCAGCAGTGGCTCTGCAGGTCGGCTTGCAAAGACCACAAGTGGAAATGCTTCTCTGACTCAGTCCTCTCCAGTCCAGGATTCAAGACTGGGTCTGAAACAACATTTAAATCTCAAAATCTTAGAGACAATAACCAATGTGCTCAGAAACCAAAGGGAGGGTGGTCAGACCAGGGTAGGGATCGGTAAACCATACCTGAGACCCCAAACTAGCTCCTACCTGCTTGGGTAGTCTGTGAGCTGAGAGTGGTTCTTACGTTTTTAATGATTCAAACTAAAAATTCAAAAGGACTTACATTCCATGACACGTGGAAATTATATGAAGATCAAACTTCATRTCCACAAGTGAAGGTTTGTTCTAAGGCAACCCTGCATTGGTTTGCATTTGGGCCATGCTGCTTTGGTTTTGCATTTGGGGATGAGTATGTGCAACAGAGGACTTTCATGGCAAGCCAAATCTGAAATAGTCACTATCTAGTCCTTTCCAAGGAAAGTGTGCTGACCCTGGGCATAGCAGGGGGTGGAAGCAAGATGGGAGAACTAGAAACTATCTGGCCTGGATCAAGGTTTTTCTCCACTTCAATCTCCCTGGATCTATAATCTCACTTGACTGATTTGCTTTCATTTTTCTTTTTGTCAGTTATGCATTGTGAACATTGACAAATGAGCAGAGGTACTTCATCACAGGGCACCATCTCTCTGTAGAAAGGATCCGGCTACATTCCCAATCTTCATAATTGGACTTCATCTTGGGCCAAATGCCATGTATACACAAAGATACTCTCACCCRTTCCTTTTATTGTTAATATCAAAGAATTCTGCTCCTTGCTGCCTGATATTTCTCAAAAATACCACCTTTTCCACTCACTGGTTAAAAGGGTCGCCTACGACCTCAGCCTTAACTTCCACATCTGTAACATAGAGGAAAACACCTAGGGTTGTGAACATGGGTTGTTAATTTAATGTCTGATGGTAAAGGTCCTCAAAGGTTAGTAAATATCAATATTGCTGCAATTCTTCTTTTATGCTATTGATCATCACAAAAGACAATCGGCCCATAACAGAGGAGGCCGTTCACACCTCTTTGGTCACAAAGCTTTCCACCCAGCTATATCCATACGAAGTTAAACTCCATTTCTCTCTTTGGTTGAGAAAACTTTTGTGCCCACAGTCTCTGCTTTGTTAAAAGAAACTCAAGGGGGAACATGAGCCAGCAAAGTCCAAATCGCCATATGGCATTACCATCCTGGGGAAAATCCATGTTAGCATTTTATTTCAGCCAGAAGTAGATTAGGCAGATAAAATTTTCAAAATAAAACACAATCAGTTAATTAAAGTGAGGAAAGACTTTATTTGTTTTATGCTAGAATGGATTGAGGCGGCTTATGAGCGGCAACATGCCAAGGGGGGTGCTTTCCTAGATGAAGGCTTTTCAAAGGGACTCCCAGGGAGGAGAGGGTTGCTAAGGAGAATAGGACTCTGTTCCCTTAACTTCAACCAAGGCAGCTCRGCTTTGTCCATCATATACTGAATTTTTCCACAAGGCTTTCTGGGAAGAAAGAAAATTCAACATCTAAAAGGTTTATAGGCAGCCTGCCCAGTTTCATGGCCTCATTCTGCTACCCAATAGCTGTGTCACTTGGGTAAGTTCCTTAACCTCTCTGTGCTTCAGTCTCATTAACAGTAAAATTCAGATAATATTAATTATTAACAATAATAATCAACATGGGGTTGTTTGTGAGTTAATATTTGTCAAGCACTTAGCAYATATAATACATAATAAATGATCTGCACATGTTTGTCAAATGAGTAAATAAAATATGAGACCATTATCCATAATTAASGTTGACAAGCAGTTTTTCTTCCCTGTAGGGAAGAAAAACAGGTAATATTTTAAATAGTCTCTACACTGAGATGGGCTATAAAGAAAAATTTGCTTTGGGGGATTTTAAGACCAGCAAATCCATGATACTGATTCTTTATTGCTAATGCATCAATAATTTGTCAACATCCCAACCAACGATGCTAGCGTCTAATGAATAGTTTACAACTTACAAAGCACATACATTACTGTGAATTGTAGTCTGTGTGATAAATCAGCACGTTACTGGACACCGAGCAATATAACCAAACCCACTGCAGCGTTGGATGAACTGAGAATAGCTAAAGAATTCCATAATAAACCCTAGAAGGCTTTGTTACAGGTTGAAATAGTGGCCCCCTCCAAATGCACATGTTGATGTCCTAACCCCTGCTATCTCAGAATGTGACCTGACTTGGAAACAGGCTCATTGTAGATGTAATTAGCTAGGTAAAGAGGAGGAGATGCTGTAGCCAGGTGGACCCTTCCTGCATTTTCAAGGGAGAGCAGCCTGGGAAACCAGCGCAGCACTGTTTATTGTCTTGAAACTACCACAAGGGCGTTTCCTTTCTTGGCCTAACCCTTGACTCATTCTTTCCTATAGTAAACATTTTTTGAATACCACTGGGTTAGGGACTGTGGCTACCAGGGTTGAGCCAAAGGCCTGGTTTCCAGGGGACTTTCAGGACGGAGGGGAGACAGACAGGACACGAATAAGTCAATATGGGAGGCRGTGGCAGTGGCATGAGTAAAGCAGATCAGAGGAACAGAATGAAAGGAGATGCTGTTTGGGATTCGCCGTGAGGGACTGACACTGGGGAGGACTGGACTGAAAGAATGTCTGCAGGCTGGGTGGCCACCTGGCGAGGACCCCAGGCAAGGGCAGAAGCAGGAGCAGAGGCTGAAGTTCCCTCACAGTCGTGCTCTCAGAAGACCACCACAGTGCGTGGCGCAGCCTACCACTGTCTCTTCTTTTTCTTTTAATGTTGCAGAGTTTTTTCTTGTTTTCCTTTGAGTAGATTGAAATGTGTTGAGATGTCCAATTTGCCCGAGGAGTCACCTCCTTAGCCACATTAAAACAGCCCTGCCTGGCGTGGGTCCCCAAGAGCTGAAAGGCAGGCAAGATGCAGCCCTCAGATGCTTCACCGTGAGCCCAGCAAGGACAGTAACACCCCCTGAGTACCCAAGGGCACCCCAGCTCTCTTCTCCAGGTGGCCCCCGTGGTTGGCGATCTATCTCCTTCCCAGATACCAGAACCACCATCTGCATGAGTCTTGCAGCAAGTGTCCCTTGCTCATTTGTCCCCACTGCCTGGAGTTAGAGCATAGTTAGCTACAACACCAAGACTCAACAAGCGGAGTGCTGTCCCTGGAGGTGTGACTTGAGGACTAGCCATCTGGCTTGGTGACACTGGAGGCCATGAAAACCCAGTTCTCATTCAGGGAAGGGAGGGACTCTAACACAGAGTGGTGCTTTGTGGCCCGTGGCAAGAGCACCAGCGGTGGCAATCAGTGACCAGTGGTGACGCCAGAGGGACCCTAACCTGCTTTTCCTGATGCCTGATATTGCAGTGGGATGATAAGCACACCAGAGCCTCCCACCTTCCAAAGCTGGTTTTCTAACTTTCCCATCAATTCTGGGAGCTACACCACATACCTTCCGGTCAATTCTTTATCTGCCATGTCATTAGTCAGCTACTCTGGTTTGCAGTCAGGAGCTCTGATTGGTTTTAGTGCCATCTCTGGGTTTTGGTTTTTAGTTTCTCAGCTCTGAGCTAACAATACTATCGCTTTGCTCTTGACATCTATCATACAGAGCTTAGAGATCAGGAGCTGTAAAGCAGGTTACAACTGAAGCACCACTGGATCTTTATTAGGTTATGAGTAGGGAAGCTAGCATCCCTTCAAGTCCTCAGAGAGAATGGCCTTGCCCTGAATCTTTAGCAGCTCACCTGTGCCACAGCTACGTTACACAGCACAATGGTGACATCCAGTGTCAGCTGGCTCCATCTCAGATGACTGAGCAGCTTACCTAGAAATAACACACACTACACTGAAGACGGGCCTGTTTGCACTGAACCCCACTTCTGTTTGCCAGTCTTTGTGGAGGTAATTCATTCTTCAGTAGAATTAACTTCATTCGACCACGTGCTACTCACTCATTGGTACATACACATAAATTTACTCTTATAGAAAACTCTTAGACATGAAATATGGCTATTTATTTTATAGGGAAAATGATTTAAATATTAGTGCAAATATTATGTACAAATACATACTGTTAACAAAGTGCTGTACCACTTACCAAAAAATTATTTCCCATATCTTGTCAATCATTACAATACTCCCTTATAGGCATAGTCCTCAGCATGAAATAAGTGTAACCRAAGCAAAGAGGATACAATTTTTTCATCATCACCTGAACTCAGACAGACTGACCTCAGGTCCAAATGTCTTTGTACTGAAACAGGTTATACAGTCTGATTTCAAACTATGAAACAGCTGAAGGTATCAGTCAGGGCCAGCTCAACAACTAGATTACAAAGAGGTACAAATCATATGAGCCCCTCTCATTCAGGAAGCAGGGTGTGAGAGAGGGTCTTTGGAGTGCCCAGATGGTGCTGGGTAGAGTATGTCACCAGGATCTGTGGAGTGCCCAGAATGTGTAGACTATGTCACTTGTCTCAGCAGCACAGAGAGGTCAGGAGTGGTATTTACAGACGAGGAAAKGAGGCTCAGCAAAATTGAGCAAAGACAGCCAGCTAGTCACGATGGTCACGGCATCCTAACCCCAGGCCTGGCTGACTCTGGCCTGGAGTCAGCTAGCTCTTTCCATCTTACCACTGTGCCTTGGCAGTATTCTGAATAAATTTTTAAGCCTTGC